GTTGCCCTAGCATAGTGCAGAAGCACCAGAGCCACTGAGCCTGAAATAACTTTGCAATCTGGGACACTGTGTCTCAGCAGTAACTCATGTGGAGGGGCCTGTCTCCCTGATATACCCTGGCCCCCAAATTCTGGCAGCACTCCAGGAGTGAGAGAACCACAAAAATAAATGATGCTGAATTTTCCTTATCAGCAAGATGGGGGATTAAAATTTAAACTCCTCCAAGGCACCTTCTACCCCTAAAAGCCTAGAACCTAGGAAGTACAGGACTGAAGGGCTGTGCCTTACCAGCTTCCTCCTCATACGGGGCCTCAGGGGAGGGTCCACAGTAGATCGCTTCCAGAACTGACCCTGAAGAGCCTGCCTCATATAAATGATTGCCCATCTCCCTCTACCTTTGTACCAGCCTCTAATCTCTTTACAAGCAGAACACATTTTCACCAAGTACTAAACTGTGTGTCACAACCAAAAAAAAACCAAACCCGTTGCCATCAAGTCGATGTCAACTCATAGCAACCCTATAGGACAGAGCAGAACTGCCCCATAGGGTTTCTGCCTTAGTTATCTAGGGCTGCTATAACAGAAATACCACAAGTGGATGACTTTAACAAAGAGAAATTTATTCTCTCACAGTCTAGTAGGCTAGAAGTCCAAACTCAGGGCTCCAGCTCTAGGGGAAGGCTTTCTCTCTCTGTCAGCTCTGGGGAAAGGCCTTTGTCATCAGTCTTCCCCAGTCGAGGAGCTTCTCAGCACAGAGACCCTGGGTCCAAAGGACATGCTATTCTCCTGGCTCTTGTTTCTTGGTGGTATGAGGTCCCCTGTCTCTCTGCTTGCTTCTCTCTTTTTTATCTCAAAAGAGATTGGCTTAAATTGTAGATTAATCTTGCAGACTGAGTTAACATAACTGCCACTAATCCCATCTCCTTAACATCATAGAGATAGGATTCGCAACACAGGAAAATCACATCAGATGACAAAATGGTGGACAATCCCACAATCCTGGGAATCATGTCCTAGCCAAGTTGACAGACATTTTGGGGAGACACAATTCAATCCATGACATTCCACCCTTTAGCCCCCAAAAATTCATGTCCTTGCCACATGTAAAACATATTCACCCCATCATATCATAGCAAAAGTCTTAATTCAACTCCAAGTCCAAAATCCAAAAAATGCTCTTCATCTGTGAAATCTAGAATACAAGTTATCTGCTTCCAAACTACAATGTTGGAACAGGCACAAGCTAGACATTTCCATTACAAATGGGAGAAATTGGAGGGAAAGGAGGCATAACAGGCACCAAGCAAGTCAGCAGAACACATTACGTTAGCCCTCAAGGCTTTGAAAATAATCCTCTGTTCTCTGAGACCATTTACACAATAACCCTACCCTCCAGTCTGTAAGTATTGGCCACACTCTCCAGATTCTGAATGGAGGCTCCTTGGCCCTGGGCTTCAGCTCCACCTTCCAGGCCCACTGGAAAGGCAACTCTGCTCCATCAGCTTTGGGCAGCCCCATTCTCCTAATCTGTCTGAGTGGCGACTCCACCCTTTGAGACCTCAGAAGTCATGGTCATACCCTTTGGGACTGAGGCAGCTCTGCTTCCTGTGTTCCTTATTGCTTCAGCTTCTGCTTGCAGGTTTCTGGGCATCTCAGCCCCTTGGGCCTCACTGCCCATGTCTTCCCTGCTAGAGCAAGTGTTTCAAAGCTCTTCAGCTCCACTGATAAGTGCCCAGAGGCACCCCACTCCGCCAGGAAGCCTCCTGTGCAAAGGCACTCAATTGTCTTGCTCTGTGGGTTGGCTCCAGTGCTGTCTCGTGCTGGTCTCCTGGTTCTGGTGCTGCCATTTCTCTCCTCACTTCCTTATGAATCCTCACCAGAATTGTCTGACATCAATAATTCCACCAACAGTCTCTTCAAGGCAACTTCTTCCGCATTTGAAGAATCTGTTAGAGCAGCACCCCACTCCTGGTACCAAATTCTGTCTTAGTTATCTAGGGCTGCTATAACAGAAATACCGGTAGTAGATGGCTTTGACAAAGAAATTTATTCTCTCACAGTCTAGTAGGCTAGAAATCTGAATTCAGGGCTCCAACTCCAGGAGAAGTCTTTCTCTTTCTGTCAGCTCTGGGTGAAGGCCCTTGTCATCAATCTTCCCCAGTCGAGGAGCTTCTCCATGCAGGGACCCTGGGTCCAGAGATGTGCTACTCTCCTGGCTCTTGTTTCTTGGTGGTATGAGGTCCCCTGTCTCTCTGCTTGCTTCTCTCTTTTATATCTCAAAAGAGATTGGCTTAAATTGTAGATTTATCTTGCAGACTGAGTTAACATAACTGCCACTAATCCTATCTCCTTAACATCATAGAGATAGGATTCATAACACAGTAAAATCACATCAGATGACAAAATGGTGGACAATCCCACAATCCTGGGAATCATGACCTAGCCAAGTTGGCAGATATTTTGGGGAGACACAATTCAATCCATGACAGTTTCTAAGGAGCTGCTGGTGGATTCAAACTGCTGATCTTTCGGTTAGCAGTTAAGCTCTTAACCACTGTGCCACCAGGTCACGAGGACCCCCTCAAAATTCCTACATTGAAGGAGGAAATTGAATTCCTAGTCAACTTAGAGAGAGAAAACTAGTGTCTGAGGGGGAGCATTTCTGAGACAAGCACTAGGAGCTTAGAGAAACACAAGTACGCTCCTCTTTTTGTTTTGCTTATGGGGAAGCTGGCCATTTCCTGGTAGACTGCACCCATGAAGAAACTCCACAGCTAGTAGTGCTGAAATGAAGGCCTCCTAGGGAGGAAGGCACACTGATAGGAAACACATTTTCATTGCTAGCATGTGATTGGTTAGTTATATTTGACATAGAAGACACTATTGGTACACTACCCAGATCCCTTTTACTGGGCCAGTGCGTCCATTCCCTAGCTGCTGTGAGTGTTGCCTTCTAAAGATTCATAGCTGCACCCTTCTCAGAGCCACTTTGTCCAGAGATACCTGGGAAATTAAAACCTCCCTCCCCTCATGGCACCCTTCTCCCACATCCTGGCTTGCAGTCAGTGAATAGAAAAGCTTGGCTCCCTTGTCTCAAGGCAGGTCAATTCTGTGATGCCTTTCACGCTCCAGAGGTCTCCTGGGCTCAGGCTGAGGCTAGATTTCAACTCAACTCCATGTTTGTCTAGCTTCTTCTCTTGCCCTATGCTTCTAGCCTCGCCTCCATACAGGTTTCATCTGAGAACACTCCCTCAATAAACTACTTTCATAAGAATTCCCATCTCAGGCTCTGCTTCTAGGGAACCCTGCTTAAGACACCAGGATACTAATTTATGTTTCATCTCCTTGTGTGCTTACTTTCCCTTTCTCAGTCAAGCAGACTGAACCTCCTTGCCTCAGAGAAAGTTTGTAGCAGAACTTCCTGGGTTTTGTTTCCAAAAATCCTCAAACGTATTGTGAAAAACAGAGCTTGGGAAGTGAGAGATTGCCCCAGATTGAAAAGAAATCCACCTTCTCACTGGAGGGGAGGAGAGAGAGGTCTCTGGGTCCCTTGAGTAGATTGTATCTGCTCTCTGGCAGCCCAGAGGAAATAGTAGGAACTCAATGCTGATGGCCACATGATGCACCTGGGAAGCTAGACCCCAGTCTGGAGTCCCAGCCTCACCACATTCTTGTGCCGTCTACCTGAAGCATGGAACAGACACTGCCTCACTGACCCATCTGAAGGGCTCATGAAAACTGGGATGATAAGCATCACAGCTATAACTAGTATGGAAAGATATCCCATCATATCTTGGGAATATGTAACCTCAGAACCTTGGCACTAGTCAGTGAGGGGAGCCTCCCAAATCACTGTGATAAGATGTCCTGCCATCTTGGCAGGATGGGGACTTAGAGTCTGCAAAGTAGTACATTTTAGAAAAATAAAGACATCTAATATTTCTTTCACACCTTAGTTTGAGAACTAAGTTTTATGCTTGCTACCTGGAAGACCAGCAAAAAGGGAATGTTATGATTATATTTCACTATTATGAAGCAATCATTAACAGGATATTTATGAAGCGTTCTCCTTTACTAAGAAAAGTTATACCCTGTAATGTAACCTGAAAGAAACAGTTCCAGGACAACATAAAGACTATAACTGCAATAATGTTAAATAAACACACAGGTGCATCCACATTCTTAGACAGAAAGAAGAGTAGTGGTTAAGTATTAGTGGCTTATTTTTATTTTCTTCCTTACAGTTTTCTGTATTTTCTAAACTTTTTCTAGGCAGGATTAATTAATGTTTTTTAAATCAGCCGGTCTCTTTTTGTTCTGCTCTTCACCACAGGTCAGTTGGTATATGTAGTACCAGGCGCCTGCCCCAATCACCAGTCCCGCCGCCATCAAGCCCAAATCCTGAGTACCGCCCATGCTGCAGCTGGTGCGAATATCTCAGAGGTCTCCCTTAAGCTAATGAGAGCGCGGTGGGGTCGGGAGTCTGAAGCTGCAGCCAAACAGGATCTAGGGCGCGCGTGGGGCGGGGGGCGGGGGGGGGGGGCAAGGAAGGAAGTAAGGCTTTGGGCTTCTCCTTTTGCATCCCCAACCCACCACTCATGGACTGACCGGTAGACACAAACAGACCAAAGCTAGAGGCAGACAGACAAAAAAGGAGACAATGTGGACTGAGTGCTCAGTAGGTGCACCAACACCCAAAGGTGGGTCCAAACCCCAGCCTTTCCCTGTTCAGGTCCAGGTTGTCAGGCCTGTCTCTCAACTCACAGTCCCTCATCGCTCTGCTTCCTCAAAACTGCTTCCACCCCTCCGCCTTTCCAAGTCGCTAACGCCTACCATTTCTGCTGCTGGCACTGCCCTGCCTTTTACAAGGCACGAAATGAGAGAGAGGCTGGGTTCAGGTGTCCCCCTGGGGAAACAGATTAGCGCCCTGAACTTGAAAATTGTGCTGCTAATCTCCATCTTCCACTCCATGGATTGCCAATTAATGCTCACCCTCACACCCACCTCAGTTTCCTCCTCGTCCTCCTCCTCCTTCCTTGGCCACAGTCCGCTGGGAGCTGGTACCTGAGTTGGAACCGCTATCTGGACCGAGACAGCAGCACATCGGCTCTTGGTCACGTGAGTCCGCGTCATTGGTGAGTTCGAGTCCCAAATTTCCCCTCCCATTATCAGCAACGCAGAGGGTGGCCCTCTCCCTCCCTCCCTGCCACCACCACCACCACTACGCAGGGCACTGTCCATCTTTTTAGTCTTTGCACAGCCAACAAAAGTCTTGTCTTTACAGTACACAATACAGGGGAAACTAGCACAACCTGTACAAGGAAAGGTCATGGAAGCCCCATAGACACATCCAAACTCCCTGAGGGACT